ACTACTATAGAAATTAGTCCCCAGTCGACATGAAATTAATAGCATATGGCTAATTAAATATGAAACAGCGAATAAATAGGTTATTACAATGGATACATTTGCGAAAATTTCAGGAAATGTTCAATCAAAAATTGGGGAAAAAATATGTTTAAATGGCTATTGTTTATCCAAATAAAATACATATTTTTACACTTCGTGTATATAACTGATAGAACGTGATAGAACTATTATTATTGATAGACGTGATATAACAATTTGTTTTAATTCTTTTAATTTTAATCTCTAAAGTAAAATACCTATACAGGGTGTCCCGGAACTTGAAACAAAAAAGTCGAGTACAAATAGATGAGGTCAAAATAATATCAGTTCTTCATATAAATTTTTTTCATACGGACCTTCGTTAACAAGTTACGGGCCTTCAAAGGTGAAAATTAAAAAGTTATTTTTATTTACAGTTTCTAAACTATTAACTTCAGCATGATGCAAATTTGGTGATCGATAACATATGCGTACAGCTTGTTTTTGATGTTGTAAGTGAACGGACTTTTTAATTTTCACCTTTGAGGGACCGTAACTTGTTAACGAAGGCCCGTATGAAAAATTTTTTTTCGAAGAACTGATATTATTTTGACCCCATCTATTTGCACTCGACCGGGACACCCTGTATATTTCAGTGTACAACTGTTTCCTTAATTGATAAATAATATCAGCTTTTGTATTTTTTCCCCAACAACTTCTGATTCTTCGCTTGGTGAATGATGCAAACGTCTGAATGCGGTAAATATGAATCAGGTCGTGGAGATACAAAGGGAACAACTTCCAGTAACGCTTCTGGCGATACAATAAATCTCCGTCAGCAGAAAACGACAAATCCGTCTAATAGGAGGGAATATTTATAACAATCAGCCGACTAAAGAATTAAGTAAATAAATGAGGGACAAATTTAAGGCGAATTTTTCTGCGCGCACAAAAAATCTAATAGTACAAGCGGCTCTTTCTCTTTTTCGAGAGCGAGGAAGCAAATGCTACCGAATTCGAGGGCCGAAATCCGCAGAGCGATCGGATAAAAACCGCAAAACGACGACAAATAAAAACCGTACCCAGTTATATTACACAGAGAAAATATTTTCTTTGAAATTACAAACTTCGCTTTTTGCGCTTACCGCAAATATTAGAAATATCTCGTAAAGAGGGAGTATTTATTTATGTTCCTTTTCAAATAAGCCATCTCTCTCGCGAAAGTAATAAATTCTGTGGGGTATCGCGATGTAGGAAAAAGTAAAGGTAAACGGCTGGAAATAATACAGGCTTACAAAATAAGTGCAAACATTTATACAGCGGACGAAATTGTTAAATTTACTGGTACAAAGCCTTTTTTACTACCTCGGAATCGATAACTTTCATAGACAGCCCACCGACAATTGTAAACGGTTTTCCTTGAGTAGTTTCTTTCACTGTAATAAATCTTGTTCCTTTTCATACGGACGTTTCAGTAGTTTTCTGAAACGACAATTATCCGAATAAGCTAAGAGGCTTTATACCCTGTCGTTTTATGAAACGTATCTTCCATGCCACCCCGTACTTCCGAGACTTTTATATCTGTTCCTATTTTCGATAGTTGTTGTTCCTCACATTTTTCCAACGGGCGTAATCATTCCGCATTTATTTATTTATTAAACAATCGTTAAAAATCAATCTCAATTAAAAACTGTCTACAAAAGCTGCACACAATAGATTTTACAATGCTATTTTTCTCGTTCTTTCGCGTGATCGAACAGATTGAGCCCGTCCAATAAGCAAATCCGATAAAACAAGGCACGGTTCTGTCGCGTATGATGGATATCATTTTTTCAGGACATTATGACATTTTTTTCTGCCCTCAAAGTAGCGACAGATAAATGTGACTTTCTGAATCCATCAGGACGGTTAACTACGCTCATGAAAAGTGATAGGAATAAGGATTTACTCCGTTTGTTAAAAATAAAATGTGAGGGTGCAAGCGATTTCTTCCCACTCAAATAATGTGATATAAAAATTAAGTTAATAAGTAGCACAATTAGTTTTTTCGTTTATCATGATTGATTGGAATTTATAAAAATAATATTAAAATGGGGAAATTTTGTACCTCTTTTTTAGCACAACACGACGCAAAAGTGCCAAAATATTTTTTTAAATTAAAAGATTACTAGAAACATTAAAAATTACCCCATTACTGAAAATTATTTTTGTCAAAATGTTACTTTTTAGGTATCACGTAGAAGTTTAAAAAATTAATGGAATCAAGTACTGTCCCAAAAGGATCAGTTCAGGAATATTTACATACACAATTTGTTTTACTTTTAATATTTTTATGTCTATTATTAGGTAGGTACATTTTTTATGAATTTTAATTAATTATTAAAAATCTCATCTTTGGAAGAAATCGGTTTGGCGCTATCGTAAAATCATTTAAACCTTTCTTTGTATCAATAAAATGATGCAAATCAAGATTTAGATATACAGCGTGACGATAAAGTTTGGAACAAAATTCATAACTTTGATACTGAGTGATTTTTAAAAAAACGCCGAGACTGATCGATTTTGTTGTCGGGAGGGACATCTTGATTTAGTTGTATATAGGACGGCCAATAAAGTTGTTTTTTCTTATGGAAAACCTTTCGTTTCCAAGTACAATTTCTTTTATGAAAAATGGCATTAAATAATTTTTTTAAATAAATGTTATTTTCTCGCAATATCTCGCTTGTTATTTGAGATATACCCATCAAACCTTACATCACTGTATTCGTAAGAGAAAGCTTTATCAGAATAAAAAAAATGTACAGGGTGTTCCATAAGAAAAGACAAATTTGGTCGCCCAGTTTTTCTGGGTCACCCTGTATATAACTGAATCATCTTAAAAGATGCCCTTCCCAAGAGCAAAATCGACCTGTCTCGGCGTTTTTTTTTAAAATCATTCAGTATAAAAGTTATGAATTTTGTTCCAAACTTTATCATCACGCTTTATATGTTAATGTGAATTGGTTTCCTATAAATACTCGTCTCTATATAATAGGCCCATTCAGTAAAATTTTTTTATTGCATATTTCAAAAATTTACCCTTTAATTAGCTAGTATGCCAAAAATTAATTTTTTGTTTCAACGAGAAATGTGTGAAATAAATTAATGAAAACAGAGCGCGGAAAAACGTTGAGCTGACGTCATAATACCGGTACGGGCGACGGGCAGAACACTCCGCTCGCTCTCATCCCATTCTGTGTTAATACATACGGTGTGTGGTTCGCTTGGCAGTTTCGTTAATCATTGTTTTTATGTCTAAATGGGTCGAAACCGAGGATTGTACAAATATTGAATAGTTCCAGGCTGCAAAAGTACCTCAGGATCGACTCCGAATAAAATATTTATTTCATTACCGAAAAATGAAAAGTTTGTGTGATGTTATCCACGGTTTCCCCAGCCACGGTATGCAACTCAATACCACCTTCGTTTTTCTTTGGTTGCACGTCTAGGGGGTTGTAAAATATTATTATTTGAACATTTAGAGCACAATTTTCAACTTTATGCCGGAAAAAAAATTCTACCCTATCTAAATGTTCGTGTTCACAAAAAATTCGAAATACGTCGGCGAGAGGGACCTATAAGCAACTCAGAACCACCCTCGTTTTTCTTTGGTTGCCCGTCTAAGAGGTTATAAATATTATTATTTAAACATTTAGAGCAGAATTTTCAAATTTATGTCGAAAAAATAAATTCTACCCCATCTAAACGTTCCCGTCCACAAAAATTTCGAAATACGTTGCGAGAGGCACCTATAAGTAATTTATTTAAATAATAATATAGACGGGCAATCAAAGAAAAACGAGGGTGGTTCTGAGTTGCTCGCACATACACGTCGTCGCATACATCCACAAGTACCGAGTCTAGTACGTTGGGTACATTTGTACACAAAATGGAAGGCAAAATTACGTCATTGAGAAAAATCCGAAAATGTATTTAGATATTCCAAGACATTCTATGTTTATAATAAATATGTTGTGTGAAAAATGCATTTCAACAAGACTTGATGTATATCTCTTATACACTTTCTATTTATACACTTAAAAATATAGATATATAATATAGGTAAAAGTATAGCAAATATCTACACATCAGTTTAGACGAGGCAGCCGAAAACAGACTGTCGTCTCTTTCTTAGAAGCCGTATAAAATGAGATTTATCTCTCCGACTGCTGGCGAGTGGCCGGTATCGTGACGTCATTAGCTGTTCTCTCGCAGTGCTGACCTTTTTAAGGGTCTTACAAATTCAGAATTAAATATATCACTTATTATTAATCCTATTGACCTAATTTTTTTAAGATATATTTAGGTGGTTAAATACTATCAGAAAATGAAAGAAAAAGTTTAAAATTATATATCACTGAATGGGCCTATTGTGATCACGCTTGGGAAAATTTCAATTTCAATTCAATTTTTTTTCAATTATTTTTTTATTAGAGTTTGGTATTTCTCGCACCACTGATTTTTTTAATAGATAGCATTGCAAGTGCCGTTACTCTGTCCTTACAATCTAATTTAAATTTTTACAATATTTTAAAAAACTCACAGGAAATAATACGTAGGTAACAAAATTTTACACTACACGCAAACAAATTATGTTTAATAAGAAAAAAAGCAACGAGTAACTATTATTTGGTTATGGGCGGACTAAACAGAGCCCAAATTGCATAATAAATATGCATCTATCACTCCTGCGCGACGGTAACCATGACCACCACTGTAAACACTTTAAAGATTGAGGGGAGAGCTACGAGGAGCCCCGTATTGTCTCAGTACATACTTTACATAACTATTATCATAAATGAATCATTCTAGAACATTTTTATCCAAATAACTCCACAGCCTTTCGTCTTTTCGGGAATATTCTGTATAGCAGTTTGCGGGCAACGAACAACATAAATTAAAAAAAAAAACATTTTTCTTCGGTAACAACGCTAGAAACTTACCGGCAACGGTGACGTTATGAGTGCCCGCCGCCAAACGGAACGCCGGGGCCTCGCTGGATATCTCGCACCTATAAACGCCGCCACTGTGCTGTCTGGTGAGCCTGTGGAGCCTCACTTTGCAGTAGTCCTGGCTGCAGTTGGTCCCCTGGGAGGCTAAATGCACTCCAGCCACCGGAAACGACAATGTGTGCGGCTTTTGGTGCGGCATGTATCTGAGGACAAAGAAAGGGAGATTACGCTGTTATGATGTCATGCGGTACCGACAGTGGCACTGCAAATTTTGACGGATAAGTGGATACAGTAATGCGGACGTCGATAATATCCGTATGTATAGGGAACATTCGGAGAATTGGATTCATTTCGTAAGCAGCGATGCGAAAAGGTCAGCAGTCCCTTTAACCTTTACCACTGGACGGAAACGCACCTTGGTTCGTCTTTTTAATCAACAATACACAGGGTGATTCAGAACATATCCAAAAAAAAAAATCTGGATGTACAGAGGACTCTTACAAATACAATTTTGTAAAGAAAAAATCAAAAAGGGTAGTTTGAAAATGATTTAAAAATACACTTCTGCGCGGCACTGGAAATTGGTCCACTGTTGAAAGAATTTCGCAAAAAAAGGAATAAATAGTATAGCACATATTTTATCAGCAAATTCAATTATTTATTATTATTAATTAATTAAATTAATTTGTGGTTTTAAATAATAAAATAATTTGCCATACCTGATGTAAGAACTGTTCAAAATGTTGTCCACCGACGTGTAAACACATTTTACTCAGTTTCACCAAACTAACAAAAATGCTGTCTTGTTTCACCATAACACACCATAATAGAAATGTTTTCGTGCTTCACCATAAATTATAACGATATCCATCAACTCACGCAAACCATTTTTGACATTAACTACTAAAAAACTATTGTAAACACTATGGCAACGACGACTGTCAAATCGGATTTCAGTATACGGAGTCGCTCAGGCCACATGGCTCTCCACGCGTATTACGAATGGCGCTAGAGACTACAGTTGCCAACCTATGTAATAGTTGAAAGTATTACAATTTCAATAATTTTTTTCTCGGAACCTATAAAGATTTTACAAAAATGTTTTTTACGACAGTAACTCCATTTTTCATGCCGCATCTATTCCCAAATTTTTTTTGAATAAGCTGTGAATCACCCTGTATTACTTGTACAGTAATTTACACCTATTTTTGCATCTCTCTGAACTGGTATAAAAATTTCGAGGTAGAAGATACACATAAAATAGGAAAAAATATCCTATGAGCACGGTTTTCGCAAATGCATAATAACGAAGCTAGGGGCATTAAACTTATAAAATAGTTTTCTTTTTAAATAGTACACTTAAAATAGGAAAAACTTGTATTTTGCCCCTAATGCAGCTGGCGATATAAAAAAAATGAATCGTCTAATCGAAAATGGTATTTGTACAGGTTGAGGGTTGTTTTTTGAACTTATCAGTCAAATAATCGATCCAAGCAATTTATCAAATTATTTCAAGTTTAGGATGACACATAAAACGAATTATTCCCAACACTTCTATTTAATACACATTTGAATTATATGAATGTGAATTCGCAGACTATCCCATACTGTCAATTTATATTAGAGTGATCCAATTTATATGTTAAAAACCTATAAGATCGCGTATTTATTTTTAAGTATAAAGATTATTATTAGGCTTAGTGCACGTGCAGAGTCTAACAGAGCCGGCGCAGGGGTCGGTGACCTTCACAGCTGACTCGCGTTTTGAACTGTTCAGTTATTTACTGAACCTTGTTGTCCCGTTGATACCTTTCTTTTTTACGTCTGCTGTAAATTGTATTCGCCATGTGTATTTAAATAACTATTTATAAATAGTAACATAATTTATATTAACTATTACTTGGGGGAAAAGTGAAGTAAAATGCCAAAACAGAAAAGAAATAGGCGGGAATTATTTCAAATGTGGTTTGACAGTGATCCTGAAAGTTACAGGGACATACGTATTAAAGGAAATGACCTGTTTTGTACTGTGTGTGAACGCATTATAAATTCTTGTGACAAAGCTAAAGTGACAAGACATTTGAAGAGCCATGCCTCGTCTAGCGCTGAAGAATATGTTTTTTACTGATAATTTCTAAATTTTGCAGTGGAAATCGTTTAAATTTGGGTCATTTATTTCTCCACAGTGACAGCGCATGTTATTTTTCAGTAACAGTCACCAACTATGTTTTTTCAGTAGATAATGGCTTCATAGATAGATTAGCATGATTTTAAAAAATCTTCAATAGCTTGAAAGCCGCTCACTAAATGACAAATATGCAATAGGGCCATAAGGTTCCTAAAAATAAAGCAAAAACTAGTAGAAAAACCAGTGGCGTAGATTTGTTGGTAAAAAATCAATAGGTACTCCCCATATCTACGCCCCTGATGGGTCTGAAATGCAATTGATTATACCAAATTATAACCAACCTATCATAAATATATTGACCCAAATTTAAACGATTTCCCAATGAAAAATTTAGAAATTTTTAATAAAAAACATATTTCTTTCTTTTGACATCCTCTATTTCGAAAAGGGAGCATTTTTGGATATAGAATCTGCTCTAGAATTCTCTGAACTACATTTTGCGACACCCTGTATATAACATAGCATAAAATGCTTCGGTTTGTTAAAATTTAAAAAATATAATTTTAATTAGCAGGAAGCTGCTCAAATGATTGCATTGGTACGAATATGTTACGATTTCTGGTGTTTCAATACAGAGGCGAAATTTTTTGAGTGGATTTGGCAATTTTTTTCCTTAAAAAATATTCCAATTTTTTTTTATAAAGCACTTAATTTTACGAGATAATTCGTAAAACGTCATATACTCAAATAAAATGTGCCTTTTTATTAATTTTGAAATTCATATCTCAAAAAGCGAGATGAGATCAGGTACATACATCATTTTCGAGCCTCTCATGGAGAATGGAAAACGTTGAATTCGTGAATTTAAATATGCGTATGACTCATAACAACTTCAACACCAACGTATGTTTTGTTTTGGACATTCCTTTCCACTTTTGAAGCAGCTTGTTTCGAAGGAAATTTAGTATTTGTAACACGATTATTAACGAAATTTCATTGTTTGAACGAAACATGGGCAGATACCCCTCATTACCAAACAGAAGCGAAACGTAATGGAAATATAAATTTCAGAAACAAAATAACGAAGTTGCCTTGTACGCATTTAATAATTATGAATTTCAATTGTGGCAATAAATTTAAGGAATATTAAATAATATTAAAATATCCACCTTTTAATATCTGAGCCTTTGATGTTTCATTAAGTGCCAGCACGAAATTAGAAATAAAACTGCAAACCGGGTTTTGTTGCCGTCTCAAGAAGCTTTTCGAAAGAAGGAAAGCGAGGCGAGAGGAAAAAGCTGGAAGTTTTCTATACAAGTACTGTTTTTTTAGGTTGGATCTGAGTTAAATGAATACCACTTTCACAAAACAGAAATAATCAAATTAGAAATCACAGTTACAGTTTAGGTTCAGGCAGTACTGGAATCAAATTCTTCATAAGGTTTATGAAACAAATATTTAGGTTTCCTTTATTTTTTACTTAATATGTTAATGGCTTGTGTATGTGACTGGCAGGCGAGTATGACTCTGTTCTTTCACTTCACGATTACGTAAGTTATAAATTATTATTAACTTTACGCTTCTATATCTCAGTATCTACACAGTAGAATGCTGTTGTATTTGGCTAAAAAGTAAGGGACTACGTGACGTAGTTTTTATGTGTGCAAGATTTTGTCGATTGCTTAGAAATTTCCCTGGGCAATAAATAATTGTTTAAAGATTAAAATGAAAAATTAAAAAAAAAATCAAAATGGTTATAAAAGTGTAAAAATGGGTATTTTTAGTATTGATCATTGTTTATTATGACAAGTATCTGTAAAAAATTGTGTGCCCTTTCTAACCCTTAATTTAAACTCACGGTACGCGATCAACTTTTTGAAATTTTCTTAATTAACAATCCTGTCAATCGAAAACCACGCCAGCGATCGTTGTAACATTTTTAGGGTAGAATTGACATATGTTTTACTATTTGTCGCTGTTGCTGTAAATTTATAGAAAATCGTCAAATAAACAAAAAATAAACAATGACTTTTTTATTTAGGGCTTACTTTCAATGTTACAGGGAATAATATGTCGAAAGACGAGTAATTTTTCGTCGTTCTTTTTATATGTTTGTTGTCCCCTGAATTTAGCAATGGTTTTTTGGAATAGGCAAACTGGGATTCTTATTCTACTAAATATTTGGGATTTTTCTGTACTCGTACAACAAAATAGAGGAATAGGAACAGTTGCAATGATGCTTTCTTTGGTACTAGCGCATTCACCATTTTACAGAAAGCATCGAGGAACTGTTCGATTTGTGAGTTAACTATTTTTAAAATCATCATACATTTTTAAATGTAAAAGACCTTTAGTTTTAAAAATAAATTTACCGAGAACGCTCTGCCTCGTGCCCCAAAATAATTATCAGTAAATTGAATACATTATTCGAAATAATTTTACCTAAAAATTATTTAAATTTAATTGGAAACATAAGTTATAACAAAAAATAGACTTTCGACTCTCAACTTTAAAAGCTAATAACTTCACAGGATGAGTCCGAATAAAAAATATATATTAACTTGTGATGGTACTTTTGCATGTTCTACCTAAATCTGAAAGACTGACCACCATTTCCAGGACACCCTGTGTTAAAATTATAGTTTATAGACAATAGGCAATTGCTGATACAATATTAAGTCAATAAAAGCCAAAGCCTATTTTTATTTACTGCTTTATTGCCTGGACTATAATATGAAATATCGCCGCGAATATTCGTAACTTTGAAGAATAACGTCACGGATTTTATCCACAGTTTTAAATACATGCAAAACAATTGAGCATCACCCTGTATAAACAGTACTACATGATATATCATTTACCAATGCTGGTAAAATTTTTGGGAAAGAAATATATTTAAACTTTGATAAATGGGAATGTGATTGATTGAAAAATAATTATATTCTACAAGTACCTATTTTGATAATGCATGTCAAGATATCAACGTCACTGCATTCAGCTGAAACGCCCCGTAAGTGGTTGTAAAATATAACGCCCTGGAGACTTAAATTAGATACACATCCTGATATTTGATGA